TGACTTAGTTAGGGCTAGAACCTTAGGCTGTATATTTATCCTGACTGCTGATCGTTTATGATTATGCACTCGTTTGATCACCTCACATGTTAGGAAAAAGGTCCTAAAATCAATCCAAATTGCCTAACAAATACTTTCAGAAATGAACAGGGTAAAAAGGTACCGAAAGGGCATTAATTATCCAACTAGTGTAACCAAGTCCCCGAACTCAGTTAATCTCTGGTTCGTAGGAATATGGTGATTCTCCTATCACCTTATTTCGGTTTCTAATCGACCCACCCCAAATCGATTAGTGGCGACTCCTTGATATAAACCACTTGCATGTTAAACACTTAAACCCTAAGTCGCGATATGGTATGGGCTTGGGAGAGCTCGAGTTAAGTCCCGAACCTAGACTTAGCACGTACCAGGCGAGCCCCCCCTTTTTGCATGTTGACAATAAAGGGCGGAAGGTCGGTCGCGACAGACTGACGACTCCGCTGGGGACTTGCATTTTTTTTAAGTGGACTTAAGCCAAAATTTTTATCCTGTTCAAAATAATTTTTGTTTGGCAGCAAGGACTCCAGGTATGATCCTGACATTAAGGTGTTATTTGTTCTTGCAGATTCGAATTGATTGTTTATAAATTGTTGTGCATGCTCTAATGATTTAGCACTACACTTTTGCACACACAATCACTCTGCCGAACCTGGGCCGCAATAGGGCAATTTAGGATGGTGTTAAGAATTATAAGAGGAATTTTAGATGGAGATCAACTGACCTTTTTGAAGAGGTTGAATTAAAAGAGGCAAAAGCTGATCTTAGGTCAAAGATCTTCTAAAAAACTTGATAGTGATTTTACCTCTTGCATATTGGGTGATATTTGCGGGATTTGTATTCTAAACAATTTGTTGATGAACGGCAACTTCTAATTCCCATTAATCTAGGAGAATAATTTGGTTCCAATTGATAGATCTAGGAAAAACTATATTAGCTCTAGAAATATCTCTTTGAACGAGAAGTGTTTCCCCTTTTGGACCATGTTTAAAAATTATGCTGCCAAAGGCAAAGAGCATAGCTTTGTAATGGATTCTAGAAATAAGTGCTAGAGGAATAGATCTGTTAGCTATTTTGTAATTATGGGTTTTTATTTAGAGAGTTAAGGCCCTGAGAATTTTTTATCTTTAAGTGAAACTTAGAAGTTTGGGTAACAATCCAAATTAATCGGTCCATTACAAAGACTTGTTTCAATAGTACCAAGTATTGATTCTTCATAATTTAAAAGATGTAAATCTCTTAAAACTAAGATTACATTTGGTCGTCTAGATTTCAAGTCAGGATAGGACTAGATATGATAGGATATGAAATCCAAGGGATTTATTATATCTTATCTACTGTTTGGTGAATCGCAAAAATAAAGCCGGATATTTTTACATCTTACCATGTCCATTATTTTCTATGAACGTCATATCAATATAAACGAAACTAAAAATTGTACAAACGAAGATGATAAAAAAATATCTCACAACACTCTTACCTATTTCATTTTTATTTGCTTTTTTTTATCATTTTTCCCTCTCTTTTTTAATTAATTTTTTTATTTCTTTTTTTCCCCTTCCATCATACCCTAATAAAATTTTATTAAATAGTAAACTATACCTAGTATTGATAAATTTAAATACATTAGTATTGATTTATATATATGAATTTTATATCACAAGATATAAAGAAATTTTGAATATATAAATAAAAATGAAATTATTGTTATTTTTTATTTTGTATATTAAAATTCAAATATTATTTATATTCAAATATTATTTTAATTTTATTAATTTAACGAGTTTATTATTCGAGAAAATTAACTTTTATATTATGGTTATTAGAAATCCTATCCACCTTTATCCCACCTCCTCCGTGGGATAATTTTATTCAGACTATATTTCTCCTATATCCGACTTTATCCTATCTTGGACAAACACCAAACACGGGATAGGATAAGATTTATCTTATCCTGAATTTTATCCCGATTATCAAACGTATCCTAAAAGGATGGAAGTGTTTAGTCCGTCTTTAGTAAGTGGATTAACACCTACATGGACAAGTTTTATGTGACCGTAGTTAAATTTTTATTTTCTTATTGAAGCCTGATCGAGAAGTTGAATTATTTCATAAGAGTTTGAAAAAGGAACATCTCATTCTTCTGTTTGAACTACATAATCTGATTTTGAGAAAAAAATTGTATTATGATTGTTGATAAATCTGATTACGCTAGACTTTGAGAATTTCCGAATTTTCAATTGATTTATTGAAATCTTCAATGTTTATTTCTTCTTTACGAATAGGTCCTTGATCAAACGATATATGTGATATTGAACTAGATAAAGATGTTGATCGCATTAATAATCTCATTTTAACATAGCCCGCTGAGGCCATCCGGACCTAGTGCGTTAGAGGCACCAAGTTGAAAAACTGCACTTTTTACTTCTTCCAAAGTGACATCAGCCAACAGCAAATGGTTCATTTCTTCTGTCACCACTCGGGAGCATTGATCCAAGACCGGAGAAAACATCCGGGGGCCTGCAGATTAGTATATTTCTCGGAAGAATTGCACCGTAGTTTCTTTTAGTAGGCTTGGTTTTTCAGCCCAAATTCCTTATGATATTTGCAACATTGAAATTATGTTTCTCTGTCGTCGCTTAATAGTGGCAGCATGAAAGAATTTTGTATTTTTGTCACCCCATTTTAGCTAATTAATTCTTGATCTCATCCCCCAGTATATCTATTCCTGTTTCCATAACGTCTCAATCTCCCCCTGTAAGTTCTTATCCTATCCACTCCACTATGCCTTTCAGTACAATTTATGCTCTGTTGAAGTTCCTGCTTTAGTGAGTCTATTCTTTTCAATCCATTCCCAAAAGTCTTTTTACTCTGCTTGGATAAGGCAATAGACACCGCACGCAATTTCACAACTAAATTCCTTCCTACCTGATTAGGCGAGTTCCAAGTCTCTTTAATAACTATTTTGCATTCATCATGCTCCAGCCATAATGCCTCGAACTTGAACTGCTTTCTTCGTTTCAATGGGTTGGGCTTAAAGGATAATAAAATGGGCCTATGATCTGATCCTATGGCTGGAAGAGCAAATCCTTCTGCTTCAGGGGACATTAACCTCCATTCAATGATACATACTACCCTGTCAAGTCATTCTTTAATGTGTTCATCCCCATCCCTATTGTTAGACGAGGTAAAAGCACATCCTTTACTCTCTATATCCATCAATGAATATGTATCTAGAAATTTTTGAAAAGCTGACATTCTATAGTTCTCAGCCATTCGCTTCCCCGCTTTCTCCCAATGGTATAATACTTCATTGAAGTCCCCCAAACACATCCAAGGTAGCATATTCGTGGTACTTGTCCATCGCAATTCCTCCCATAGTTGAATCCTTTTTTGAAAGACATACGAAGCCAAAGTGAGGTTTTTAAAGCACTGAAGGACTTTTTCAGTACTGGATACATGCAGCAAGAGTTAAACAAGACTCATATTTCACTTAATTCAAAAGTCCCTAATCCCGAGAGGTTAGACCAGTATCGTCCCATAAGCTTGTGCAATTTTGATTATAAAATCATCTCTAAAGTGATGGCGAATAGGCTTAAACCACTATTGCCAGATTTGATAGCTCCAGAACAGAGTGCGTTTGTTGGGGGTAGGAAAATTCAAGATAATATTTTCATTGTGCAGGAGGTACTACATCAAATTAGAATTCGCAAGAGAAAGGAGAAATTCCAAGCGGTTCTGAAACTTGATATGAAAAAGGCATACGATCGAGTGGAGTGGGATTTCCTGGAGGCCTGCTTAATTAAAATAGCCTTTGATGAAAAGTGGGTAGGTTGGGTAATGCAATGCGTCACAACCGTCTCGTTTAGTGTCAAGTTAATAGAGAGCCACTTCAATACTTCCAGCCAACACGAGGGATTAGGCAGGGGGATCCATTATCCCCCTACTTATATATTCTGGTGGCTAATGTATTATCCTCACTCATGAAGACAGCGGTTGATAATGGCAGTATTAAAGGGATTAAACTCAAGAGGTGGTGTCCCACCCTTTCTCACTTACTCTTTGCGGATGACTCTATTTTCTTTCTAGACGGGAAGATTCTGGAATGTCAAAACTTGGCAGCAATTTTGAACCAATATTGTGTAGCTTCTGGACAAGTAGTAAATTTGAACAAATCTGGGATTTACTTCAGTAGGGACTGTCCTCAGAGCTTAAAAGAGAATATGGCGAGGGAGCTAAGAGTACCTATTATTGATAAAACGGGGAAATATCTTGGGATTCCTTCAGATTGGGGAGTATCAAAGGAACAAATGTTTGCCGGGATTTTGGGATGAGTGACTGCAAAACTTGAAGGTTGGAAGGAGAAATTGATGTCAAAAGCAGGGAAAGAAATCATGATTAAAACAGTGGTGCAAGCCCTCCCGCAATATGCCATGTCCATTTTCAAAATACCTGTGTTAGTATGCAAAGCAATAGAGCAGAAAATAGCATATTCCAGTGGAGAACAAATGGAGCTAAGAACGGAATTCACTGGATGAGATGGGATATTTTGAAGAGAAGAAAGGATAGGGGAGGATTGGGATTCCGAGGCCTACTTGATCTTAACAAAGCCATGTTAGCAAAACAGGCTTGGCGACTAAGTAACAGCCCGACCTCCCTCTGGAGCCAATTGTTCAAAGGGCTCTATTTTCCTCAAAGAGACTTTTGGCGAGCTGGAAAGGGACAACGCCCATCGTGGGGTTGGCAAAGTTTGCTCTTGGGGAGGGATTCTATATCACCATCAATGATGTGGGCGGTAGGGAATGGTACAAAAATTAAAACCAGGGAAGATAAATGGTTGAGGAGAGGAGCACTAGTAGGCCCTGCAAAAAGGGACGAACCACAACTTGTCTCTGAATTTATCTTAAGGGAGGAAAATCGCTGGAATGAAGTAGCTTTGAGAGAGCACTTCGATGAGCGAATAGTACGTGAAGTTCTCGCAATCCCAATTAAGCCTCAAACTGAGAATGACCAGCTCATATGGACGGGTACACAAGCAGGTAAGTACACTGTTAAAAGTGGATACAACTACATCCGAGTGAAAGGGGCAAAAGAGAACAGAAGCCATGCGTCAACATCATTCCAACCCCCTCGTACTCTATGGACAGATATATGGAATCTACATACTCCTCCCAAAGTCAGAATATTTATGTGGAATCTATGCCAAAACGCACTCCCAACACAGGATAACTTATTTCGCAGAAAGATTGTACCCGACCCAATATGCTCTCTGTGCAATCAAAGGGTGGAAACTGTTGAGCATCTGTTTCTGTTATGCCCTTGGACGAAGGATGTTTGGGAACACCCAAGGCTGAGAATACAGATTTTGATTCAGGGACTAACTCGGATTGAGACCTGGTTTGGAGATATCGAAAGGGATTCGAACCTCTTACCAGATTTGGAGACGATAGCCGCGGTTCTATGGCAAATCTGGAAGTCGCGCAACCACACCATTTTTGGGGGGAAAAAACTCCACCCACAGCCTTAGCAGGATTGCAGAGTTTTAGAAGGTGGAACCCCGATTCGAGCAAATCTGGAGATGGAGTTGCGAACTCATCAAGAGCTTGGATTCCACCGAAAGTTGGATCTTTCAAGATAAATATTGATGGTCCATACGAACCTGGGGAGATGGAAGGTTATGTGGCGTGTGTATATCGATATTCCACCGGGAAATTGCTGGATGGAGCTGCACGAACAGTGGCTGTCTTCGGTGTCCATGGCAGAGGCTCAAGCTCTTTTTGAAGCCCTAAATCAGTTTCTCTCTCTTAGACATGAAGAAGTACTTTGTACAGACTGACAGCTTAGACCTGGTCAACGCTTTAAGGAGTCCAGATTAATTCACGTGGGATGCTCTCGTCCTTATCATGACGTGCAGGGATTTGTTACTTGCCTTTTCAAACATTCAAGTAGCCCGTTACTTTAAAGAAGCTAATTTCATTGCAAATTGGATCACTAGAATCTACAGAAAAACTATTTATTTCTGAATTAGGTTTTATTCCTTCCCCCGGCCCTTTGAGATCTTTTATGCACTGAGCCCCTCTCTCAGGTTCTATCATTTTTTACTAGTTTAATGAAGTATTTCACTTTCTGATAAAAAAAATCATTTTAACAAATATGCTTGCTCACTTCTTAGCCTACCAACCAGAGCTAATCAACAGTCCCACCTAAGCATGAGTCATCAACTCACTTGAAATTTACTGCTCAAACTACCACAGGGTAAACGAATCCCCACTTAAATGGAGTTAAGCTCTAGTCCAATCCCACTTGCCATTTCTGACAACCGCCTAAAAAGAATTTTCAACGGGGTGATTATAAGGCCACACACAGGCAGCCCCTCCAAAATTAAAATATTTTAAGGAAAATTTTTAACAAAATATCTTAACAGTTGAATATGGGTTTTTCCATGAAAACCCAATCATTTTTTCCCAGAATATCTTCCTTAAAAATTGGTTTAGAAAACCCTATTTACAAAAACCTTTTGCCTATTATGAGCAAATTTTGATTGAAACTAAATCGGTGGCGTTCAAACATTTTGCTTCGCAAGATGATCCAACCCCCATCACTCACTTAACTGCAGTCATATGCCAAATCATTCCATCATCCAAATGGAGTCCGTCACCTAATACTATCAAAATATTTCCGGCAAGAACAACCACCAAACTCACATATCTCCCCACATCTACATACTGGGATTACAAAAAGAGTGGTGGTCCACGTTTCATCGACAAAGCCGTAACATCACCATTCCTAGCTCTTCTATTTCAAACCAATAAACAAAATTAACCATGGACCTAACTGGTTTAACTAGTGGTGGGACCATTTTGATCACATGCAGGAAATTTTACCACCAGAAATCAAAAAGAGTTTCAAGCTTTTGATTCAAAATTTTCACCAACAGAACAAGAATCCCGCTTTCCAAATCTTGTTCATTTTTTAATCAATTTCAGAATCTCATGGATATTAGCTTGGGAATTCGACTTTTATGTCCCTCCTTGTCACAATAACATTCCAAATTTGATCAGGCGGTTCAAAATCAAGTGGTGGAATAATTTAAATTTTATAAAAAATGCATCTGAAACTGTCTTGGCTTGTCTAAACCAACATAATAGCCAAAGTAGGCCTCTCCAAATCGCACTATTAGAAACAAATGCTTCATTACTCCAGCAAAATCATTCGTAACAGCACGACTTGCAACTATGCGGTCATGAGATGAATACATTACAATCATGGAGCAACTGTGAGCAAAACTGAAAGGTTCCAAAAGCAACTCTAGCCAATCACATTATAGTGAAAATATCAATGGAGACGATTTATGGAATTAATCTCTCGGATAACAAAGAATAAATCAGAATCAAATCAGCAAGAAATAAAATCATAATCAAATCAGTAGGACATTACCACCATCAAAAGCACGTTATCATACGGTAGCAACGCGGGAGGAATCTTGCCAACAATCAGACTGTAGCAGCACGCAAGAATCCTGCCACCACCCAAAGCAGGTTTATCAATCAGACCGTAGCAGCACGAGCAAATACTATACAAACATCATGGCTGACAAGGCACGGTCAAATCACTATTCAATCACTGTACAACACATAGGCATTCACATGAAATGGCGTTTGCTCTCACTCATAGGGGCAAAACTTACATTTAGCAATTGACAATCGTGTGTTAGAGAGAGAGCCCCTGTATCCCTCGCCCTTTGCACTTGTATCCTCAAATAAGTTTCTCATTTTCAGTTCTCTCATTTTACCTTAAAAATCATATTGTATCTCAATCACATTGTAACAATCATGGGCAAACTGTTGAACGTCAGAGGCGCGGCAACAATATTGATTTGATGAAATGATTTTTTGAAGGTGAAACAATCGCAATTCGCGTCTTTCTATTGCATGTTTCAATTACAATAGAAACAAACTATATATATACCATAGTTTGATTCGAAATAGGAAACCTCTTTCTAGGAAACTTATTCTAATTAGGAAACCTACTTGACTTAGAAAACTTTCCTAAAATATAACTAGAAACAATATCTCACAATATCTATCAAAATATGGAAATACGAACAGACTAAAAAAAAAGGAAACAAGTACTAACAAATTTGGTTTAATTTCTAACACAAACATAGGCCTGGCAATCAAAACATCCATAAAAAGACAAATATACGAGGGCGACACAGGCTAGATAGGTCAGGTGCTACTCCATAAGGTAAACATTATCCACCCATCCACCAATATAAGTCCCGTCTACAAGATTAGGCCTCCACAAAATGACGACTCGACTCCTAGATCTGCCAAACCTGAAAAATATCAGTAAAGGGATCAGCAACCGCTAGCTCAATAAATGCAACTTCCAAGTTGGTAGGAAATCAAGACATTACCTTCTTAAACATCCATCAAAAGACATATATATACGAGGGCAACACAAGCTAGATGGGTCAGGTGCTACTCCATGAGGTAACCATCCACCAATATAAGTCCCGTCTACAAAATTAGGCCTCCACAAAAGGACGAATCGACTCCTAGATCAGCCAAACCTGAAAAATATCAATAAAGGGATCAGCAACCGCTAGCTCAATAAATGTAACTTCCAAGTTGGTAGGAAATCAAGACATTACCTTCTTTTAACATTAGCATGTTAGTGATTCATTTCGGTTAATGTACACTAGTAAACATAGATGACAAGATGATGGTAGCCTACTCAATACACACACGTGTGTTTCGGGCCAAAAATTATATATATGTATGGGTGGAAGAACACTAGAAGTGTAAAAAGTTATATATGACACTCACTTTTGTGGTAAAAATTTTCCCAGGATCACTTAAGTATCAAATCGGAGAAAAAACGATCATTTAAGTGCCAATTGCGAGAAATTCCGGTAAAAAATAATACGTTGCTTTTATGGCATATTATTTAAAAAATCCAGTCCACGTGACATTTCCAGTAGCGTTCTTGGCACTGAAATGATCACTTTTAACAACGACTAGCACTAAAGTGATCATTTAGAAGCAAGTTCGGCAGTCAAACGATCACTATTTATAACTTTTAGACGATATTGTTTAGGGTTATATGCTGACTAAGCATGCCGGCGAGCCACGTAGGACTAAGAAATTAATAAAATATAACCACTTCTGATTTCCGGTGACTTAGATCGGAGTTGGCATTTAAGTGATCGTTTTTTAAAAAAAGTGGCACTTAAATGATCCGAAAAAAACTTTTGGCACTAAAGTAAGCGTTGTACACAACTTTTTGCACTTCTAGTGTTCTTCTCCCTATATGTATGTATGAACAAACACACATACACATGTGTGTTTGGTAAAGTCAACTTTCTCCGCCAGTGACTCGTCTCTAACAAAAGGCATCACCATATAGGTCAAACAATAATACGCCTAGCCATGCCTCGAGTACGCTTACAGAGATGAACTAAAGTCCCCATTTGGTCTTCCTTAATGGGGGCATCGCTCAAGGAGTGGAATAGGTCCATGGACAAGGTCCGTTAACAGTATGCATGGTATGATCGAATGCATCCGCATATATATAAGTTCATAAAGCCATTTTGCTCATTCCAGCTCATTCTGGTATCATTCTACCCATTTCCAATATTGTCATTTAAAAATAATCATGTGTGAATTGTGAGATTTTGTGGAACCACCATTAATTACTCTAAAAGTTTAAGACATATATTGAAATCATTCCCCATCTCGCTTAGTCTGATTTTTTTGCCTAATACTTAGCATGGAATATTTCATTGGGGAGGCAAATTGGAACCTGGAAAGGTTTAAACTTAGGACATCTTGCTTTGATACCATATGAGATTTTATGGGACCACTACCAACTGTTTTAAAAGCCTAACTATTAGATGAATGCATGATTCTAATATTTAAATATTCTATCATGAACAACATTACCATTCCATTCCTTACCAAAAAAAAAAAAAACATTACCATTCCATCAATTCACAACCATATGCACAACCTATAACCTTATGTAATGGTAGATAGAAAAAGCAATTGACTCTCAAGACATGGCAATTCAATATAGGAATCCCACACAAAATTCACATTCCATATTTGAAACCATGATGTACACTCAAGCCCTTTCACTACCTTGTTTGATGAGAAATTTCATTTCCTAATTCTTCACATGCGGGCTGCAATAGAACTGGACAGCAGCTATATAAGCATATCAATCCCCCTCATTCAATTGCAAGTCTTATACTTCAATGTCCAACCTCCTGGGGTTGGCAAAGTCTGATCCTAGGAAGAGACTCCATCTCACCTCAAGTGATGTGGGCAGTAGGGGATGGTTCACAGATAAGAATCAGGGAGGATAAATGGCTGAAGAGGAGAATCATAGGAGGTCCTGCTAATAGAGATGAACCACGTTTTGTCTCTGAACTCATTATTAGTGAGGAAGGCATGGGATGAAACAATTTTAACTGAAAATTTTGAGGATCAATTAGTAAGAGAAATCCTTGCTATCCCGATCAAACCCCAAACAGAGAAAGACCGGCTCGTATGGACTGGAACTCAAGCAGGCAAGTACACAGTTAAAAGTGGATACAACTACATTCGAGAGAAAGCAAATAAACAGAACGAAAATCATGCCTCAACTTCTTTTCAATCTCCTCTCACCCTCTGGACAGATATATGGAAATTGCACTCTCCACCCAAGGTTAGAATTTTCATGTGGAATTTATGCTAGAATGCTCTCCCAACTAAAGAGAATTTATTTTGAAGAAAAGTTATACCTGATCCCACATGCTCTTTATGCAATCGAG